TGTTAATGTCTAAGAACTCTGCTGCACCCTAGGTCTTGAAGATTTTCTCCTATGTTAACTTCTAATTTGTAGTTTTACCCTTTGCATTTAAAGATGTGCTTTATATTGAGTTGGTCAACTTTTGTATATGGTGTAAGCTTTAGATTGAGGTGCTATTTGTTTACTTGGATGTCTAATCACTCTAGAACAACCTGTTGAAAAGACCTATTCCTTCACAGATATATGATTTGTAGGTAGATAAATATATTGCATTGGGAGGTTATATTGATTTTCTTGGGCTGCCATAACAAAATACCATACATTGTGTAGCTTAAAACAATAGAACTATATCACCTGAAATCAAGGTATCACCAGGGTCATGCTCCCTCTGAAACCTGTGGGGGAAATCCCCGCCTCTCCTAGCTTTTGGTGGTGGTGATGCCCTCCACACATGGAGGGCGTGTCTGTGGTCCTCCTTGGCTCGCTGCTGCCCTCCTTGGCTCACTGCTGCTGTGCTTCAGCCTCCGCCTCCACTGCTCTCTTCATCTGTCTGTCTCCTTCTTTTTTTTTTTAAAAAAAAAAAAGATTTATTTTTTTATTTATACAAGAACCAGGGCATAGGCCAGATTCGTGGGAGGGTGAGAGGATTCACCAAAGACAGAGCAGGGAACAGAACAGGCAGACTGACGAAATACACTGCTGAGGGGAGCAGCAGGCGCTACAGGAGAGCTCTGCTGCACCATGTGGGACCCTCGCTGGCTGGCTGGGATCAAACCGGCGCTGCAGAGGCTGTGGACAGCTTCACAGCGCTGAGCTCAACCGCCTGCGCCACCAGGGGAGGCCCTGTGTCTCTTCTTGTAAGAATACAGTCATATTGGCTGAGTGGAGCTCTGTGTTCCAAGAGGACTTCAGCTTATTCCATCTGCAACATTCTTGTTTCCAAGTAAAGCTACATTCTCAGGTGCTGGAGGTTAGGACTCCAAAATATATATTTTTTGGGAAATATCTGACTTATTGCAGTGCTTTTTTTTTTTTTTTAACCTATTCCAACTTTGTCAGCCTTGGGGGTTGGCTTAGGAAGCAGGAAGCAGTGATGACACCTGTAAAAACTAGGACTGACAAGGCTTAGTGACATACTCCCCTCCCTGCCTCCTACCTGCTTCTGTGGTTCCTGTTTTCCAACCTTCTACTTCTGTTCTTGCACATGTCACTTTTACCTGCCCTGGGAAGCTTTGCAATGCTCCATCTTCGACACTCCTGTTTCCCTCCCAGCTTGATTTCAGCGTGTGGAGTCAGCTCTGTCCTGGTTTCAGACTAGAGAGAGACATGAGAGCGTGAATAACCTGTTCACATCCTCTGCCTGTTTTTGCAATAGCGTCTTGCCAGGTTTCTCTCTAACATTCTTGTCTGTCCTTCATGGTGATGCCCTGGTCACTTTCCCCAAACACAGATTATGTCAGATTTTGCCCTTCCTAACACATTTATAGTGGCCAGAAGAAAGTCAGAATATCTAGGTTGCCTTACATTATCCTCCACTGCCTGGTCCCATTGCCTTGCTTTTCTTTTTTTCTTTTTTCTTTCTTTCTTTTTTTTTTAAGGAAGCATAACCTTCTTTATGAATGTTCAAAAAAGAAATTATACATGGAGTTAGGGGGAAAGGATATGTTTTTTTATAACCTCTTTTTAAAGGTATGACATATACATGTACAAATTTAATGTATATAATGTGAATTTGGAGAGAAGCATACATTGTGAAACCATCACAGTCAATGCCAGCTCCAGAAGTTTCCTTCCACCCCTTGCCTTTCTTGCTTTGCTTTTTTTTCTAGATTCCTTTATAAGTAATACATCTCCATTTTCCATACCCTTGCTCTGGCAAAATGTAGGTCATGCATCAGTGGTGTCGATATCACCTAGAGCTTGTTAAAATGCAGCATATTGAGTCAGCAGATCCATGATCAAATCTGCATTTAGACAAATCCAAAGGTGATTTGTATCACATGAAGACTGAGAAGTGTTGGTCTGCACCCCAGCCCAGTGTCCTCTACCTGATTGCTCATCAGAATCACCCACAGAGCTGGATATGTCCAAAGCCATCCAGATTCCACCCAGATCTACTGAATCAGAATCTCTGGGGATATGGCCCTGAGATCTGTTTTTTTTCCTCCCTTTCTGTTTAGTGTATAATTGACATACAATAAATTGCACACATTTATTTTTAAATTTTTTATTGAGGTAACATTGTATTATAACATTACATAAGTTTCAAGTGTAACCATGCATATTTAAAATGTACAATTTGACAAGTTTTGATATATGTATATAATAATGGAACTGTCACTACAATAAAAATAAAGAACATAATATCCATTATTCTCCAAAATGTGAACAACCCTAGGGAATCCCTCCCTCCTGCTTCTCCCTGGCCCTCCCCTATATTTCCCTGCCAACTACCTTCTGATCTATTTTCTGTCATTACCAATTAGTTCATATTTTCTAGAATTTTTTAATATATGCAGTAATAGAATATGTACTACTTTTTGGTTAGGTTTCTGTCACTCAGAATAAGCATTTTGAGGTTTATCCATATTGTTGTTTGTATCGAAAGTTGCTCCTTTTTTACTGCTGAGGAACATTTCACTGTGTGGAAATGCCACAGTTTGTTTATTATTTTGCTGATGGACATTTCGGTTGTTTCCAGTTTGGGGCTATTACAAATGAAGCTACTATAGATGTTTGTGCATAAGTCTTTGTGTGAACAATTGTTTTCATTTTTCTTGGGTAAATACCCTGGAAATGCAATGGCTGGATCCTATTATAAGGGTATGTCTAACTTTTAAGAAACTGACAAACTATGCCTTAGTTTGTTTTGGAACTCAGTTATCTGGATAAGTTTGATCCTTTCTGGTAAAATTTGCTAAGTGAAACTGTTCTGAGTCATGTTCAGTGCTAGTTATTTCCTATTATTAATGCTGCACTTTTGAGTATACTTTGCCCTGTGTTCCCTGATTACAAGGTTTTCTTTTTTTTTTAAATTTTCTAGAGGCATGTCTTATTTATTTATTTATTATTTGTTTGTTTGTTTGGTTTATACATGCACTGGGTACAGTCAGAAGCGCGGGAGGGTGAGAGAATTCACCAGAGCCAGAGCGGGGAGCAGAGCAGGCAGAAGGACCGAAGGACACTGCTGAGGGGAGCAGCGGGCGGCAGGAGAGGTCTGCGCACCATGTGGGACCCTCCTCTGGTGGCCAGGGAGCAGCCGGGGATTGAACCGGCTGCAGAGGCTGCAGGCAGCTTCGAACCCAGCGCTCAACCGCTGCGCCACCGGGGAGGCCCTACAAGGTTTTCTTATTTGGAAAATTACTCAGCCTTTCTGGGGGCTGTGTGAGCAACAGGTCATCTTCCTCTTACTCCTTCTTGGTTCACTCCTTGGTTTGGGCAATTTTGTTACATGTTCCTCTTTGTGTAACCCTCTCCTCTTTAAACTCTGTCCTGTGAGCTTTAGTTGAGGAAACTATCTTATCATCTTAAATTTTACTGTGTTCTGCTTGAATTCCCCTTCAGGCACTGCAGCCTATAATCTCTCTCAAGGCAGTAAGCCAGCAAGTGGACAACTCATCTTATTTATTTTTACTCTAGGGTTCACTGTCCTTTGTTGTCTGATGTCCAATATCTAGAAGGCCATTGGTTATTTTTTTTTTTCTAGCGCTTTAAGCTGTTTTAATCAGGTGGGTAAATCTTACCCTTGTTACTCCATTATGGCCAGAAGCAAGCATTTTTGTCTGTATTTTATCTTTTTTTTTTTTTTTAAAGACTATTTATATAAGAACAGGGGTACAGGCCAGAGATGAGGAGGGTGAGAGAACCCACCAAAGTCAGAGCGGGGAAAAGAATAGGCAGATGGACCAAAAACACTGCTGAGGGGAGCAGCAGGCAAGACAGGAGAGGTCTGCCACACCAAGTGGGTATCTCCCTGGTCGGCCGGGATTCAAACTCGCACTGCAGAGGCTGTGGACAGCTTCACAGCGCTGCGCTCAACCCGCTGAGCCACCAGGGAGGCCTTGTATCTGGATTTTAAAAATAAATTACATATATGACAAAGATGCAACTACCCCATCAAATTCAGGTTAACATCTGAAAACCACTATTCTACCCATAAAAAAGAAAACCACTGCCGTAACCCTATTAAATGACTTCTCTCCGATCTCAGTCATCCATATTCCTTTGTGTCTGTGTCTTTGCCTTTCTACTTTCCTATGTCTTGAATACCTTCTTGCGTTTCCAAATCTTTTAGATTCCTCAGAGTTTTTTTTTTAAAGATTTATTTATTTTTATACAAGAACTGGGGTACAGGCCAGATTCACGGGAGGGTGAGAGGATTCACCAGAGACAGAGCGGGGAACAGAACAGGCAGACTGATGAAATACATTGCTGAGGGGAGCAGTGGGAGCAATAGGAGAGGTCTGCTTTGCCATGTGGGATTCTCTCCGGCTGGCTGGGTTCGAACCCATGCTGCAGAGGCTGTGGACAGCTTCACAGTGCGGCGCTCAGCCACCTGTGCCACCAGGGAGGCCCGATTCCTCAAAGTTTAATACAAAGACTCTTAGAGAAGCAGAATTATTTTCCAGTGAAAAAGTCATTCCTTCCTATGTGCTTCCATAGCAAATTTATTATACTTTTTATTTTTCAAGTTTATTACATTTTTTCATCAGAGTAGTTGTTAAAATATGCATCTTATGGTAATTGTTTGCTCATCCGATTATAAGCTCCCTAGGGTCACTTTGTCTTTTGTGTATAAAGTAGGTATTGTATTGTATCTTAGGGAATGAAGGAGGGCTTTAAAAGCAAGAGATCAAGTAATAAGCAGTACAGAGAGAACATCTTAGAGTTTTAAAGGTTGTTTTAAAGTTTTGTGTTGGTTTATATGATCTAAGATGGGGTAAGCACATAGATTTTGTTTTGTTTGGTAAATCTGATTGAATGGTATGTTGAGAAGGATTCTGAGGCCACATCTTGACTCTGTGAGAAAGTTGCCATTAGATAATAAAAAGTTAGAATATCTCAGGTATTTTTGACTAAATGTGTGGGATATTTTGACCAAATAACTAACATATATAATTCATGTCTGGCAGGGTTTTAAGTGTGATGCACATATCAGTTCCTTTCCTTCCCCTGGCAATCCATGGAGGTCAGTTCTTTTAAAACCCCATTTTCTAGGTAAGGAAATTAAGGCACACAGAATTAAGAAACTTACTCAAGTCACAGACCTAGTAATTCTGGCTCCAGAGACAGTGCTCTTGTCATCAAAAATTTTATGTTTCAGAAAAATTGAGGTAGCTAGCACTCATCGGTATAATTCTGTATATGGACAAAGTTAATTTGCTGTTTGTCAATAATAATGATCCAAGCTCCCCACATTTTTACCTTAGATTACAAAGATTTATCTTTTTTTTTGGTAAAGATTTATTTATTTATGCATATAAGAACTGGGGTACAGGCCAGAGGTGTGGGGGATGAGAAGATTCACCAGAGACAGAATGGGGAACAGAACAAGCAGATCTATTGAAATATACTGCTGAGGGGAGCAGCAGGCGAGACAGGAGAGGTCTGCTGTGCCATGTGGGTAGCTCCCTGGTTGGGGATCGAACTCATGCTGCAGTGGCTGCAGACAGCTTCATAGGGTGCATTTTAACCCCATGCACCACCAGGGAGGCTCTACAAAGCTTTATCGTTTATGATTTCTGATCTGTTGCTTTTATTTCTTTAGGATCCCTTGCCAGCTCCATCTTTGACCCACTCAAATTTCTTGTGGGTGCTTCAGGAGGAGTCTATGCTCTGATGGGAGGCTATTTTATGAATGTCCTAGTGGTAAGAACTTTGGGAACACAATCTATGGACCCCTTTAAAAAAAACAAAAACTGGTATTTGCTCCAGGAAACCTTCACTTATCAAATTTATGAGCACTCTTTTTCTTTTAGAGAATTGTAGAGACACCAGAGTTTTCCTTTCATATTTTATCTTTATTCTGCCCCCCATCTCAAAAGTTATGGTTACTAAATAAAATCTTATTTAATTTTTAATTTTTATTGAATATTACTTTAAAACATTATATAGAATTCAGGCATACATTCCATACCTGCATGTGCATTATGAATGCCACCTAAATAAAATTTTACATTGAAAAATAGAAAGTCAAAGTTCTGATGATAGTATCAGTTAACAGTTGCTATATATCTTTTCAGCCCTTTTTCTCTGTGTATTCACAATCCTACCAATATTAATGCTACAAAATGGAATCAGCCTTACATATGCTGTTCTACATTGTAACATAGAGCATCCTGACCCAGGTTTGTACATAGAAGCCCACCTCAGGCTTTTTAAATTTTCTGCAGTACCTGCTGTATAGGTGGATCATGATTTATGGACTCCTTCACTGAAAAAAAATTGTGTTGATTCTAGCTGTTCAGATTTACAAATAATGCTATTAGAAATGTTCTTTGACATTTGTTTTTTTCCATTTGTGTTTTTTTTTTTTTTTGGTAGGATAAATTCCTAGAAGTGTATTTAATAGATGAAGGATTTAAATTTTCATAGTGATGTCAAACAGCACACCATTGTACATTCTCATGGGACAGTGTGTGAGAATGCCAACCACTTTTTAAAACAGGCAAAAATCGTAACTTGCTTTTAATCCTTTAACTATGAAAGCATACTTAAAAAATTTTCTCCTAGAGGCAGTATAAAATTATGAAAACTTTTCCAAATATAGAAGTCATTTAGAAAAATGATTTTCAAACTTCGGGTTGTAACCCATTAGTGGCTGTGTGCTCATTTTTAGGGACTGTGCCCAAAAATTAAACAAAAAGAAAAGAAAGTGTTATGTTAGCAATACCGCTGATAAAGAAAAGAGAGTGATAGAGCAGGCTGTGGGATGCAGGATGCTGCTCAAGAGCAAGATCCTGGTCTTTTTATTGATAGAGAAGGGTGGGTTAAACTGAACACTGGATTTTGGGCTTCAGGGAGAGCAATGATACACATGTGCTCATGGCTCCAATCTTATTAACAAGGCATTCCTCTGATCAGTCCCTGGGGTGCAAAGCATATCAGTCACCAGCCCCCTGGCATTCCCAGCCAAACCTCGGGGCTGTATACTTATTGCCCAAGGGCGATCAAGTATCCTGCTCTCTGTCTAACTTGAAAGGAGCTTTGTATGCTCTACCCACAAATGAGAAAAAGACAAAAAAATCCAGTATGTATCAGGGTAGTAAGGGTAAATATTGTTTTATTGTTTATTATAGGATTGTTATGGATTGGATTATTTCTACTGTAAGTCACAGTCACAACAGTTTGAAAACAGTCAATTTAGAACAAATGTAGCGATTTCAGCATCTTTACTCCTTGGAAAGAGTTAGTAACTGAAACTGATAGGAAACTGATAGGAAAAGTAACTCAATAAATTAAAATAGAAGTGTCTTTCTGACTCAGTTCTCTAGTTACACACCAGGTTGCTGTGAGCTAGATGGAAAGTTAAAATCAATGTCTATTTACCCAACATTTTCAATTTTTTGACAATTACCTCAAAAAACTAAGGTAATACTGAATTTTAGTAAGTCTTTGCTAACCCCTATACAGAAAGAGGATAGAGAAATATCAAGTGAACATTAACCAAAACTAAACAAAACCAACCTGGGGAATATTTCATCAGACTTAGTTTTGACAGCATTTTTTTTAAAATCTATTGATGCATTAAGTGTTGATCCTAAATTACTTTATATTTTGGTTATGTACTGCTAATAAAATTGTGTCTAGTTTCTCCCATGGGATGAAATACCATGTTGCCTTTTGTTCTCCAAAGTGTAACAGCATTGTACTTCCTAAAGGCATTTGAAAACTGAGCTGTTACACCAGTGCATTGATTTGTAATTATTTACCACTCCAACTTGATTTTAAGTGAACAAGGAGATGAAGAGGGAGTAAGGTTGAGGTTTCATTTGCCAATAAAGATAAAGAGCTTATATTAGTGTTATTTATCTCTTTTGCAAGAATTTTCGAGAAATGATTCCTGCCTTTGGAATTGTCAGACTACTGATCATCGTCCTTATAGGTAAGTTTGTTCTGTGAACATTTCACACTTCAGTTTTATGGGTTGTTGGATCTTCGGAAGGTCTTCTCATATTTCCTAAGCACTAAAATGTAGAATGATGGCTAGCCTAGAATCAGAATGAATTGGCTGCCTTCATTACTCTAAGCAGAAAGATGGAGTTTTAGCTGCATCTGAAGTATGGTAGATTTCTGCCTAGTGACAGGCCATACAGTGGAGAAGAAAATAAAAGCAAAGTCAGGGCCAGTAATTTGTTTCTAGAACTGCTCCAGCTAAAGCTGTATACACACAGGGCATGGCGGGGAGGTGGGTGGAGAGGGTGAGGTTTGGGGGGGTGGGAATGTAAGGGGAGTAGGGAGGTGGTGGGGGCATAGGCTGACCTGTCAGACTTGAAGGCAAGACAGAGGTGACATTTGATAAAGCCTAATGTTTTGACTGTCATATGGTAAAGAAAATTTTGCTAATTGGTATCAGGAGTTCAATTATCTCTATTGTTGGAAGAGGGACTACTGCCTCTGAGGAAAGAGACTCAACTGAGTTTGTGAACAGCCTAATGGTCAAAACAATAATTCACTCTGAGAGAAAGGAAATCACTTGTTTACAGTTTATACCATTTTGTAAATAAGTTTTTTTTTTCCATAAGAAATTCAGTGAGTGAATGCTATGAGTGTGGAGAGGCGAACAGGCAAGTGGCTAAGGAGCAGAGCAGAGCAGAGCTGCTGCCTGACTTGCCAACCAGAGCAGAGATAAATCCTTGGATGAAAATGTTGTTTCTCAAGTCACCTGGGCCTCCAGTCAGTCTGCTTCTCTTCTGTGATGATGGATGGCTTTTGTAAAATGAGTGTCAAACCCTTGATGGAGAAATGGTCTTAATACTCTTAATATGCCTCAGTGTTGGAATAAAAACCCCTTGCTCATGCACAGGGAAGTGCCAAAGATAGCTTATGTAACCTTACATCATTTTTGAGGTGAGTGATATGTCACTGAGTGATTATATTCACAGACATCTTACAGGGTGGACAGGACCAACTAGCCGACACTCACTTGTCCCACTTCCTGGTAAACATCTCTTCTAAAAGCTCTTTGCCCTAGTTTGCCCACTGTTGAAAATGAGGCAAGTTAAAACACATACCAGATTACTAAAATACAAGTACATTTTCATTTTAAATATGTCTCCTTGGGAAAAATGTGTCCAGGTTTTTTTTTTTTGTTCAAATGCTAAGTATTCTTGGGCCTCCCCAGTGACGCAGCAGGTTGAGGACAGCACTGTGAAGCTGTCTACAGCCTCTGCAGTGCGGGTTTGATTTCTGGCCGGCCAGAGATATTCCCACATGGTATGGCAGACCTCCCCTGCCTTGCCCGCTGCTCCCCTCAGCAGTGCTTTTGGTCTGTCTGCCTGTTCTGCTCCCCATTCTGTCTCTGGTGAATCCTCTCACCCTCCTACGCCTCTGGCCTGTAACCCAACTATTGTATAAATAAAAAATAAATCTTTAAAAAATGCTAGGTATCCTTAATTGTGAAGGACAGTTGACCTGGAGGATCTCCATCATCAAGCTTTAATTGTTGGCTGTGTATTCTAGCAAAGCTCAGTAGCTTCCCTTTGGAAAAATCTCATTTTCATCCATCAAAAAAGTCTATATAAAGGGAAATCTTTTAAAATGAGTATCAGTTTTTTAGTAAGGACAATGATTTGTTTTATGAGAATAGGGGCTTCTTTTTAGGTGAGAAGACATATCTCCATTTAGACACTACCACAATTTAGAAGCAAACTTCCCTAGGAAGCAGTAAGAGCCAGGCAGAGGTATGTAGGATAGGGACAAGATAAGAGAGAAAAGGAATGGAGAAACTGACATGCGAAGGTTATAAAGACTTCTATAGAGGAGGCTTCTGTCCTGGAAGATTAAACCAGAGTAACTGTTTTCAATAAGTCAGTGCTGCTAGTTCTGGCAGTAGTTTTAAAAAGTTCTACTTTCCTGGCCCAATCTCTCTGTGTTATTTATACTGGATCAGGAAGTGCGAACCATGATTAAAATACCATATAACACATTTATCTAACATTTTGTGTAATAGTCACGTACAATTAAATTGAGTACTTGACTCGACCTCAATTCCTGTCCAGTGACTTCAGGGTCAATACTGTATTCAACGGAAAGTGAGCCAGAACACATGATCCTGGTGCTATTTTCCCAAAGGCAAGGACTCCGTCTTTTTGTCTACTAGGACACGGTGGCTCATGAACTAGAGCGCAGGGAACTAGGGTGGAATGCGACAGCTGTATGAGATGTTTCCAAGTGACGACACATGTCTGGCAGAGTTCTAGGCCAAGAAGCCCCAGAAGCGCTTTTGCGGCACAGAGCTCACTGATTTGAAGAATGTCTAAGTTTGATTCTTGCTGTCCATTGGAGACTGTGGACTCATTTCTTTTCTTGGCCCACCTTCAGTACTCCTGATAATTAGAGGCAATGAGTGTGGTGGGTGAAAGTGGAGTTTCCCAGAAGATTCAAGTCCTGTGCCTGCCTCTGAGCTGTGTGGCCTGGGGCAAGTACTTCAGCTCTGTTTCTTGATTTCTTTATATATAAAAACGTCTCACTTGGATTGCTGCACTAGTGTAATCTGGCTTGTCTTCCTGTTCCTGTGCTTACTCCCGCGTAGTCTGTTTATTTAAAGCAGCCAGAATGGTCATTTAAAAACATGCTGTGTCACTCAAAAACTTTCAAAGTCTTCCTATCACTCAGAAGAGGTCAAAATCTTTCCTGTGGCCTGTAAGTCCCCTATAAGATCTGTCCCTTGCTACCTGTTTGATCTCATTCCCTATCCCTTTGATTCCTAACTTTAGTCCAGAATCACCTGGAGGTCTTATTAAAACACAGAGCCCTCCCTTTGCTGTTTCTGGTTCAATACATCTGGGGTGTGCTTGAGAATTTTAATTTCTAATAAGTTCCCAGGTGGTGGTGCTGCTGCTTCTCTTGGCTGCTGCCACCGCTGGCGTTATACTTTGCAAACCACTGAGCTGGGCAGATCAACTGCTTTGGTATTTCTAAAACACTAGGCATATTCCTGCCACAGGGAGTTTGCACTTGTTCATCCCTCAGCCTGAAAGACTTCTTTCACCTGGAGAATGACTTGCACATTCACTTCCATCAAATGTCATCTTCTCAGTGTGGTTCTCCCTGACTACTAAAATGTACACCCTACTCCCAGCATTCCCTATTCTCCTTAGCACCATGACAAACTGTATGTTTTACTTCTTTGTTTGCCTCACCCTACCAGACCATCAGCTCTATGGGACAGGGCTGTCTGCTGTGTTCATTGTTGTATCTCCACTGCCTAGAATAGTGCCTGACACTAGAATACAATCAATAAATACTGGATGAATAAATATGCAAAATGGGAAAATGGTAGTATTAGTTCACAGGGTTGTCTATTAATGAGAGGTTAAAGCATGTTAACACATGTCAGAACAGCACCTGGCACAGAAGTAGTCTCAGTATATGTTAGCTGCTACTGCTTCTGGAGAGGGAGCAGAAACACATGGTGCTGGAGCTTTATCAGGTTGTTTTTCCTTCTAGTTGGGTCAGACATGGGATTTGCTCTCTACAGGAGGTTCTTTGTCCCTGCAAGCGGGTCACCGGTGAGTTCAATTTATTATTTTCTGATGAAAAATTGTTTACCTATCATATCAAGAGCTGAGAAGTGTCATTAAATGGGACAATTCTGTTATGTAGGTCATTCAGATTGCCATTTGGAAATTAAGAAAATTCCCAAGAAAATCAGACTTTTACTTAATTCTCAGAGCCCTGACCAACTGGCTCAACTTCTCTGCAGCTGCCACATTGTATGGTCGCTGTTTCAGAGCAGGAGGGAAGGGACTGCATTGTCCACAGCGAGTAAAAAGCAAATTGAAAATTAGCAATGAAAACTTGGATCCAGATGGCTTTAAATATAAAGAAAACTGACAAAAGATTTCCAGTTTTATTGGAATCAGCCTGAATTTGGTAGTTTCTGAGTATTTATTTTGTTTCATCTATGCTTTAATTCTGACATTCCATTTGTGTGGGGTCAGATTATGCTCCCATAGAGATCCATCACAGCAACTCAACTCTTACTCTCTTGGCTGGCACTGTGCAGAAATAACATAAATGTGATGATACTCAAGGGAAATGAGGAACAATGGCTCTTTCTGGGTAGTTGGAGCATCTGTGAAATGAATTTTTTTAGTTTTTCATGTCTTAGAACATTTCCTTCTATGTGAACACAAGGCTTTATGGCTCTTTGCCTTATTTACTTCCTTGTTATTTAGACTTTTAAGACTTGTTTGACTGTGATGGTATTTGTTTTTGAGTTAGAGAGATACAACTGAAATATGCAAGTAGTATTTTCATCACTTATTTACATTCCTCTCCCCCCTCCCAAGGTGTCTTTCGCAGCTCACATTGCAGGTGGATTTGCTGGAATGTCCATAGGTTACACTGTGTTTAGCTGCTTTGATCAGGCACTGCTGAAAGATCCAAGGTTTTGGGCGGCAATTGCAGCTTATTTAGCTTGTGTTTTATTTGCTGTGCTGTTCAACATTTTCCTGTCTCCAGCAAACTGACCTGCTCTATCATAAACCAATTAATAAAGAGAGCCATCTGGGAAAAAAGCTGGAGAATCTATGAAGAAACTGAGAAGTGCCAGCAAATGCAGGGCAAAGCACCACTCAGGTCTTCAGTTCCAAAGACTGTTTATAAAAGGACTTACAGTTTAAGGAAGGGGTTTCTGAATACTAAGGGTGGGAATGAAGAGGAAGAGAAAAAAGGGAAGTGAAAATTAGAGATTAGGTCTTTTCCAGGCATTGGGTGCACATGTATGTGGCCTCTTAAAGGGATGATATATTCTGCAGATTGCTTACTAGAATCCATAATTCTGTACTATGCTGACAATAAACACTTTTCATATCTGTGTCAGACTATTAATAATCACTTTGGATCACTGTTTGAATTGATTGATCATTGTTTGAGGTGCTTTGTAGAAATTAGTGCTAATCTTTTTAACAACCCAGAATGGTAGTTATTACTCTGTATCTTAGAGTATGTGGAGACTCTTTAAACAAATCAAGTAATTTGTCTAAGAAAGGGCAGAATTTATGGTACATTGAAATCCCACACTTTCCTCCCTTCTAGGTCTAACAGTGCTATGTTCCCCAAACATTGAAGGTTAAGAGCATTATAGGAGCACAGTGAGGCCTTATTTAACATTGTCAGTAGGTTTTTAGAAGCTGGGGCTTTAAGAAAAGCTGCAGCTCTTTGAATAACATTAACTTAGTGAATTTTGTTTTTTCTCATAACATTATAATGAAAAAACCTTGAACAAAATGATGTTATTGGAGGACCAGTAGTATAGGAATAAACATTTCTGTGGGTGTGCCATGAATAGTAGACACACCTTACAGACGAAGAATGGGAATTTTCTGGATTGTTAAAGGTTTTAAGAGTGTGTCTAGGACTCCAAGGAACCTGGACTCTGGATTCTCATCCATAAGATTCTCATTCTTCACGTTGCTCTCCTCAGAGCAGGCAGGACTTATTTACAGAGGTAAATTGTCATATCTGAAAGCTTGAAGCTCATGTCCTTTCTTTGCAGACAACGCAGATTGTTGGACATTCCTTTCCAAAATAGTGGTTTTGGGTAATCCGAGCACAGGAAATAACATTTTTTTTCTTTTATCATCATTGTATTTTATTTAGAAACACCCATCTAGACATGTTGCTGTCTTCTGAAAGGAGCATACACACTTCATTCGATAAAGTGAGAAAAATATTGATAGTATCTCAGGAAAAATGGATCCGGGATTTGTTAAAAATTTGAGTATAAGAATATGGGTATGGGGTCTCCCCTGGTGGTGCAGCGGTTGAGCGCTGGGCTGTGAAGCTGCCCGCAGCCTCTGCAGTGCTGGTTCGATCCCTGGCCACCGGCGAGGGTCCCACATGGCGTGACAGACCTCTCCTGCCTTGCCCGCTGCTCCTCTCAGCAGTGTATTTCGTCAGTCTGCCTGTTCTGTTCCCCACACTGTCTCTGGTGAATCCTTTCAGCCTCCCGCAAATCTGGCCCGTACCCCGGTTCTTGTATAAAATAAATAAATAAATCTTTAAAAAAAAAAAAAGAATACGGGTATCTTCTCAGTTAAACAAAGATTTGAACAAGAAGTATTTTTTACCTTCTTACCTCAAAGCTGCTCTTTTCCCCAGTGGTGACAGCTGTCAACAACTGGGTCTGTATTCTTGCAGACTTTTTTCCTACCCAGGAGGAGCAAAAAAGGGAACAGATTTAGTTGATGGCTGACTCACTGCATTGAACTGCACTGAATCTGTTCTGCATTCCCTATGGGAAAATTTGGAGAATAAGTTGAAGAGTTTTGAAGATGACTATGATGTAACTTTTGAGCATGATTTGCTTTTCAGAATTACCTAATCTAAGAAAGGTTTGAGTTAGTCTGTTTTATTGATTTAATATACACAGAAATGATAGGTTTTATTTTTTATTTTATTTATTTTTTTTTATTAGATAATAAATTTTATTGTTATATTCCCCATACAATTGCAGCACCCCCATTCTGACCCCAATCCCTCCCCTCCCGCCCCTGCCCCCCTAAAAGTGTCTCTGGTTCATAGTTTTTTGTTGATTTTGATTTTCACTTTCTTATAGTTATTCATTTTCCTGGTCCCTTATTTAAGTTTTCTAGATTCCTGCTATGAGTGAGACCATCCGGTATTTTTCTTTTTCTTTTTGGCTTATTTCGCTGAGCATGATCCCTTCCAGCGCCATCCATGTTGCTGCAAATTGCATGTGTTTATCTTTTTTGAATGCTGAGTAATATTCCATGGTATATATGTACCACATCTTCTTGATCCAGTCATCTATTTTTGGGCATTTGGGTTGTTTCCAAAGCTTAGCTATTGTAAATAGTGCTGCTATAAACATAGGGGTGCAGGTGTTCTTTGGAATTGATGTTTCTGTGTCCTTTGGGTAAATACCTAGGAGTGGAATTGCTGGATCATATGGAAGCTCTATGTTTAGTAGGTCCAGAAATAAAAATATGGAACGCTTCACGAATTTGCGTGTCATCCTTGCTCAGGGGCCATGCTAATCTTCTCTGTATCGTTCCAATTTTAGTATATGTGCTGCCGAAGCGAGCACAGAAATGATAGGTTTTAATAAGATAAATGAGATGTGACACATATTGCTTTATAATATGATTTAGAGATCTGTTCATTTGTTTATTCTCTGAGTTGCTGAATAATGAATGTCCTCTGCTGGGACATTCAATACCATTATACCAACAATGCTAGAGGAACACCATAGTACATGCAGTATATTTTTGAGTATGTTCAATGAATGAATAATATTCCAAACACCCAGAAGCAGAAATGCTGTTTATTTTGATAGATGTAAACTGCCTTTTAAGTAGCTGTATTCATTCTTATTGACAGTACATGAGAGCAAGTTGCCTCATACTTTTGTGAAAAGAAGGTATAAATCTGAATTTACATTTTGATAGTTAAAAGTTTCATTTTAATTTATATCTCTCTTTTTAGTGGGGATCAGTGTATTTCAAATGTATTAACATATATTACATGTGACATGTAATTTGTATATAACATACAAATATGAATATATAATATATATATTTACATATATAATTTTTCCCCTTTATGACATGTCTGCCTTTAATCTGAAGGGTAGGTAATAGCAAATGGTCCAGGGAAGAGCTATTCATCTGTCATGGCCAACCTACCAGATCACTACCTCTGAACTTTCAAAGACTTATAGTACAAGATAATTGTTAACAGCAGAAAACTAGACAGAGAAAGAGAATCATGAATGGGACATGACTCACTGATAGTAAGACTGAAGATTAAGGAGTTATTATTTAGTTAGAAAGTCTTTTTTTTGCGGGGGGGGGGGTTGTTCCCTGGTGGTGCAAGGGGTTAAGACGCAGCACTATGAAGCTATCCCCAGCCACTGAACACAAGTTCAATCCCCAGCCAGGGAGGTGACCTACATGGTGCAACAGACCTCTCCTGACTTGCCCGCTGCTCCCCTCAGCAGTGTATCTCAGTCAATCTGCCTGTTCTGTTCCCTAATCTGTCTCTGGTGAATCCTCTCACCCCCAACACCTCTGACCTGTACCCCAGTTCTTACATGCATAAATAAATAAATCTTTAAAAAAAAAAAGAAAGTCTTTTTGGTACACGAAAATATCTACATTACCAAAAACAATGAAATCTTGCTGTATTCCCCAGGGGGCAAAATAACCATTAAAAGACACAAATATCTGGTGTTTTAAATTCAACACTTTGAATTGTAGAGGAAACATTTATTCAGTTTAACTGAATAACCTTAGTCTTCTAAACTGTGCTGTAATATTAGAAATATAACTATTCTTTATCTGTGCTGTCCAAATAAATAGCTACAAGGTACATGTAGCTATTTAAATTTTAGTTAAAATGAAATAAAATTAGAAACTCAGTTTCTCTGTTACACAAGCAGCATTGCAAGTGCTGAAAGGCTATCTGTGTGGATAGTAGCGGCTACTTTAATTAGATAGTACAGATAGAGTCTATTCCAATATCATTGCAAAAAGTTGGACAGTGCTGTTTCAAAAGCAAGAATGAGCCAAAAGTGAAATAGATTTTAGCTCATCATTGAATTGAACTGAATCTGCTCTACACCTACACTGGAACAAATTCAGAGAACAAGTTGAAGACAGCGGTGGTATAACTTAAGTATGATTTGCTTCCCACTTATCTGTACTAAGAAGGTTTGTGTTAATGTTTGTGTTTTAGCTAATTAAGAAAATCATCTGAAATGTTTTTGTATTTTACTTTTGAATTCTGTGGTACTATATATACTAGTACTCATGTCATTTGCTGTTAAAGTTTTTGAACTTAAGATGGATAGCTAAATAATACTGCTCCTTCAGGAAGTGTTATATTATTGTCCTTTAAGAAAAATCCTTTATTTATTTTTGTTATTATAATAGTAAGGAGTTCCTAGTTAAAAAAATTAAAATACTTGTAATTAAAAAAAATAAATCAATTGTAATCACACAGTTCAGGTATACTCATAGCTAATATTTCGGTGAATATCCTTCTAGGATTTTTTGTATGTCTCTAATATAAAAAAGTGATAATAACGGGGGTCGTATGGTTCCAGTTTATATCACTGAATATCACTGAATATCACTGAAACAGTATATCAGATGTATTTTTATGTTAGAATATGCTTATAGTTTCTACTGGTTGCAAGGTTCCATACTGTGGATGTATTATTATTTATTATGTATGATCAGCCTGATAATTATTTTGGATGTTTTTAAGTTATGATTATTATAAACAGCAACATGAATAATAACACAATTCAAAGTTCTTTGGGTTGGTGGGCCAAAGGGCATATTATTGATATGATAAAGTCAAAGAGAATTTTTTCTCTTAGGAATAGAAGTAAATCTTAGAAATTGATCCTTTTGTAAATCTTCTAAACTGTATAACACTTTAAAAAAAAGGAACTAAAGACTCTAGAACCAGTTATTTAAAAAGTCAAAACTGTCACTATTTGACTACTTAATTAAATGATTAAACTTTTAAGAGAAAACAGACAACTTCTTAGTACCTCTTTTATGCAAATTTCAGGTTTGCTGGTAGAGGAAAAATAAACTTAATAAAAACAGTGAAGAGCTAACTTTAGAGCTATACTTACTGACTGGGTCTGAATGCAAGTTCCAGCTATGTGATCTTGGGTGAGTTAAGGTGTGCCTCAGTTTCCTCATCTATAAAATGAGAGAAACAATATACCCACCTCATAGAATTTCTGTGATGAACCTGTTATGTAGCTATAGTTTCCTAATACAGTATTTTACTGTATAGCATTTCTGTTTGGATAAGAGGGACGTAGAATATACATTTATATTTTAAGTGAAAGTGAATAAAAACATTCACTTTTTAAAATCTTTCCCTTGGATTATATTCCTATTAGATATCTTAGAATATCAACCTTAATATGTAACTTACTGGTTGATAATCTGAACATTTCAACTATAACTCGCCTTAACTGATCCCTCCCACAAAAGCAAGCTATGTCTTAAATAGGTGAAAAACTCTTACAATGAAAATTCTGTAATACTACCACCACCCTAATGGCCACTTAATTCAAGTAATATCTAATAGCATTTGTGCAATACAAAATAGTTGAAATATTTTTAGTTCATTTAAGATGATAAAGATTTACAAAAGTTCTAGCAAAGTATAAGAATTTTATGAAATTTCATAAATATTACTGAAATGGATTTCTAAAAATGTTCAATAATTTCCAGAAAGAAACCAGAATTTAGGGCTCTATATGTGAGTTAGGAAACTAGACTTCTGGTGAATGTACTGTAGTATATACACACATTGATTGATAATGCTGCATAGTTGAAACCTATATAATATTATAAGCTAATGACTTCAATAAAAAATTCACTCAAAAAATGTGGAGTAATCTAAATTTCTATAACAAAAGCCTGATCTGTTTTCTATGGCTTCATCAAATGCTAGATCTTACTGAATTAGCAAATGAAACACATTCATTTCCTTTGTGTATAAATTAAAATTTAATGTCATTGACTTTCGTTATAACCTTTCAGTAAAATAATCTTACTAAGTAGATTCATAAGATCAGTCAGTTGTTTTAGGAACTTCTTTAAAATTTTCATTAAGGGGCTCCCTGGTGGCAAAAGGGGTTAAGTCTCAGCACTATCAAGCTGTGGGCAGCCACTGTGTCATGAGTTTGATCCCTGGCCAGGGAGCTATCCCACATGCCACAGCAGACCTCTCCTATCTTGCCTGTGGCTCCCCTCAGCAGTATATTTCAGTGGATCCGCCTGTTCTGCTCCCCACTTTGTCTCTGGTGAATCCTCTCACCCCCCACACCTCTGGTCTATACCCCAGCTCTTGTATACATAAATAAAATAAATCTTTAAAATTTCTCATAAAACATAACAAAACAACAGTAAACTTCAGTCAAGTAGGAAGACTTCTTTCCTAGAGGAATGCTACAGTTCTATTTTTAATAGAGAATATATTCAGCCTTACCCCAAATATCATGTTTTGTTGTTGTTTTTTCACTGATTATGAGGTCTAAACATATGTGATTTAAAAATCCTTGGGGCCTCCCTGGTGGCACAAAGGGTTAAGCATTGCACTATTAAGCAATCTGTAGCCTCTGCAGCATAAGTTCGATCCCTGGCCAGCCAGGGAGCAACCCACATGGTGCAGCAGACCTCTCCTGTCTCGCCATCTGCTCCTCTCAGTGTATTTCAGTCAGTCTGCCTGTTCTGTTTTCCACTCTGTCTCTGGGGAATTCTCTCACCCGCCCCCCAACCCTGCCCTGCATCTCTGGCCTGTACCCCAGCTCCATAGGTTTGTTTTGAGAAATAGCAGAATGGAAAAATTTATCTGCCTCCCATTTTAGGGGGTTCAGAGCTGAGATAGTAGACTAAGAAAATATGGGGGACTGGAATTTCCTTGGAGGAATTCTGGAGGAAGTTCACATCCACTCCACCATGACTGGAAAGATCTGGCTCACCATCCTGTTCATATTTTGAATGCTTATTCTGGGTGTAGCAGCTGAAGATGTCTGGAATGATGAGCAGTCTGGCTTCATCTGTAATACAGAACAACCTGACTGCAGAAATGTGTGCTAAGGCCAGGCCTTTCCTAGCTCCCTCATTAGATATTGGGTTTTGATATTTGTGTCTTCACCATCTGTTTTACATGGGCCATGCTTTATACCAAGTGAGAGTTCTGGAGAAAGCAAGACAGAGGAAGAAAGCTCAAACGAGAGGAGAACTGAGGAAGGTAGATTCTGAAATGCCTGGAGATTGGAGGAGACTGGGGCAAGAACTTTGCCGATGGAGCAAAGGAAACTAAATAAAGCTCCACTCAGAGGAATCTTACTTTGTACTGATGTGGTACACATGTTCACCCGCTCTGTGGTTGAAGCTGGGTTCATGATTGGACAGTATCTTTTACATGGATTTTACTTATAGCCTATATTTAAATGTCACAGTCACCCATATCCAAATATATGTTTTTGTCTCAAGACCAACAAAAAAGACAATATTCCTATTATTTATTCAAGTCATAGCCAGTGTTTCACTTTCCGTAAATGTTCTAGAAATTTTCCACTTAGGTTTAAAAAAAAATAAAAGGGCTTTAGGGACAATATAAATTGAAACATGAGCATAATGAATTCTATGTGAACAAGTCAAAACAAAGTCTTGCTACATATCAGAGCACATCTGCAAATTCAGTGAAGCGAATCTTCTGTACCTGTGTAATCTGTTAATAGACTAGCAAACACACACACCAGTGTGCCATAGCTTAAATTCACCTGCATTTAAGACAGATCCCACAAATCACAGTGGAAATGATAAGGTATGCGTCATGAACGAACAAGAAACTGCACTGTTAGTGAGATGTGCACACTTAGTACTACCTGTAGTCATCAACCCATTGGCTCAAGTAATAAGGAAGACACTCATAAATTATTTGGAAAGAAAGCTAATGGCAACCAGTTTAGAGAAAAAGGAGAAATTGATGACAAAGAGGCAAAAGGAACCACTGCTCTAGAGATCACTATTCTCCTCAAGGAGTTGCTATAGATCTGGACAAATGCCTGGAGCAGGCATCCCAAAGAGTTTTCTCTCCACCAGCTATAACTGCTCCTGGAAACCAAAGTGGCTTTTAGGTATGTGGGGTCCCTTCAATGAAGATAAAAACAGGGCATTATTTCCTAAAGGTGACCTCAGCAGCCAGTTCAGAGAGGACTCGATCAGAACACTTCCTCCTTCATAGGCTGACTTGCAACCATGTGACATTCCAGCACTCCTGGTTCTTTTGAGAGAGTTGTCCTTTGAATCTGAGTTGGTCAGAAACTGCAAGACTTCTACTGAATATCCTCCAAATCATTTAGTGTTGCTGACAAACAACCACATTGGTAAGTGGACTTCTACAGACCTTCAGCTTTGAACAGCTATTGTTCTTTTAGGCATTTGTACATTATGGTAGAGATAGCCTTGTGGAGCAGAGAGATAACAGGTAAGAGCAGTTCTAAAGGCCTGCCATTAAATCCAGACACGGATACTTTTCTAGGATTCCCTTCAGAATTCTTGAAAGTTAATTTTGGGAAAATTGTCATGTTCAGAATTGAGGCTAATTGGTTTGGAGCCGGGTTTTTCCTTGAAGGGATTACAGTCTTAATTGTTCTTGGGGTATAAAATTCCTCCTTTAGTTTAGTTACCAATCTTTCACTTCTGAAAGATTAAACTTTGTTTGCCCTCAGGACTTCGGTTTCCTGATATGTCTAGAGTATAGTTAGGTAGGCTATCTGAGAAATAAAAAATTAAAAAGTTTAGTGGCTTTCTTTCAGTTTATAGTATCTTAATTCAGTGCCCTGATTGAAGTCTTGCCTCTACCACTCACTAGTCACTAACCTCCCCTTACAGGGCTGGTGTGAGGGCTAAAATATGAGACATGTGTTTAACACAGCGCTCTGCACAAAGTAAGAGCTCAAAGTGCTATTATTAGCACGTTACGGCTCTCTCTCCAGAGAGGCCCGCGTCCAGCCAGCTACAAAGCAGATTCCAAAAGTAAAAGCTGGAACCGAAACACTCGATCCGAAACAACTCCTCAAGCTACTGAAAACCCAAAACCTGACTGTCGTGCGCACATTTTTAGGACGAGTGTCAAGAAGCCAGCACAGACAGGCCACCGCAGCTGCCGCGGTCCCGCCACCTACTAACGTCCGACACCTCCCGCCGCTCGAGTCTTTGCGTTCCGGAGCCCCACAGGCCCCGCCCCCGACGCCACCCCCATTGGGTGCCCCACCTGGACACTTGTCCCGGGTTACCAAAACCTCGCCCCTCTCTAAGCAACCGAACCGCTGAGGGGACCGGAAGAGGAAGGAGAGGTGCCGCTCCCAGAGCCCGAGGGGCGGGCACACGCAGCCTCCCTTGGCTCAGCCCACTAAGGGGCACTCAGAGCGTCCTGGTCGCCATGAAAACAGGCCACACCCCGGCGATCCAGGCCCGTGATTCGCAAGTGCGCAGGCGCACGTGCCCTTCCGCGCATGAGCAGTGCAGCTCAGAGCCCGCCAGCCACGGTCTCGGGCGCCAGCTACGCGGCTGCCGCTGTCACTATGGCCCATTACAAAGTGAGGGGGGCGCGGCGTGGCTGGGGGCATGTGGGCGGTAGCCAGCCGCTGGTCGGCTCGGGGTGGGAGTGGGGGCGCGCGCGCAGGTTTTGGGGGTCTGAGGTGGCGAGGCGAAGGAGGGTCGCCGGACTCCCAGCGCCTTCACTGCTCCGGCCCCCGGGCTTCGACCACTGACCCGCCGTGTCTCCTCAGGCCGCAGACTCGAAGCGCGAGCAGTTCCGGAGGTACTTGGAGAAGTCGGGGGTGCTGGACACGCTGACCAAGGGTGAGCATGGGCTGGGAGTTTGTCTCTCGTGCCCTCGTCGTACTCCTCGGCGCTGCGCCCTGACGGGCTATGGCGTGGACAAGGAGGGGGAACAGGTGGGGCCCGCCCGGGGTCCCGTGAGGTGGGCCTCGGGGTTTGGGCGGGCACCAGCGCACGCCTGGCAGCCGGACGCCGCCCGAGGGGGCTACCTGCCTCACCCTACCCCTCTCCCGGCGGGCAGGGAAACTCTTGCAGCTGTTGCAAAGTCTCTCCAACTTCCGTTGGTTTGCTTCGAGCAGCCGCAGTGGGCATGTTTGCTGAAGACCTTGAGGTCCCAATTCCTTCCGCCTTATAGTTTTTGCAGACCCTCGAAATCCTGTTAATGAACAGGTTTGTCCCTCAAACAAAAGGCAAATTCGAAAAATGACCACATTTGAGCGAACCTAATTCCCAAAGTAGATGATTCATCAGTCAATTTGGCCGTGTCTTTTCAACCCCCTTTTCATAGTCTTTATCAAGTCCCATTTTTTGCAGATTTCAAAGTAGAATTTCAGCTAAAGAATTTGAGGGCTTGTCTAAATGTTATATTGTTTTCACTTTTTAAAATTGGAAGTGTCTGTTACACTGTATCTCTTACTCTGAGGCTCAAGATCTAAGGAGATAAGGTGCTAGAAACTAGGGTTTCAAGAGGTAGTTGGGACACTGCTTATTTCAAGAGCACAGCAGCGAACAAGCTCGCTTACCTCATTGATTCATACTTTTTTTTTAAAAGATTTATTTATTTATGCATACAAGAGCTGGGGTACAGGCCAGAGATGGGGGTGGTGGTGGTGGTGGTAGTGGTGGTGGTGGTGGTGAGAGAATTCACCAGAGACAGAGTGGGGAACGGAACAGGCAGACTGACTGAAATACACTGCTGAGGGGAGCAGCTGGCCAGACAGGAGAGGTCTGCTGCGCCCTGTGAGCTGCTCCCTGGCCAGCCGGGGATGGAACTGGTGCTGCAGTGGCTGCGGATTGCTTCATAGTGTGGTGCTTAACCCCTTGGGCAACCAGGGAGGCCCTGATTGAGACTTTAAAGGATGTGGAACAGAAGAGCTGGCAGGGATGATAACTAGGATTCATATAATTAGTAAGTTCCTGGGAAATAACATGGTGACTGCTCTTTGACCAGAACAAAGGTTAGGAGAAAATTTTGGGAGAACAGCAGCTTCCAAGCATGGGCTGGTGATTTTGAATTGCTCTTACCTTGGGTTCAGGGACTAATTTTCCTGTAACTTTGCAAATAAATTTTCAGCAAACTACTCTACGAAAAGGCAGTGCTCTATGGTCTCTGGTAATGTCACAGATACTTGAAATTATATCAGGTACCCTCCCCTTAAAAAACTCCACAAGTTCATTTCTTTCATTTGACCATTTTATTCAGGTTTCTGTTGGAGGCAAAGAAAGGGGAAGGGGGGAGAAGTAGTCCTTGCTCTAAATGAGCTCATATCCTAGTTGGGGAAGACAGATAATAAATACATAGTGTTAGTAAGTGGTAAGTGTGATGAGTAAAATAGAAAAGTAAGGGAATAAGGAGCAATGGGTATATCATTTTATATAGCTGGTGTGGGGGGGAGGCATTTCTTAAGAAGTAATATTTGAGCAGAGACCTGAATGAAATACTCTGTATGTCCTGAGTTCCAAGAAATTTAAAGAGGCCAGAGTGGTTGGATGGAATGAGAAAAGAAATAGAAAAGGGCAGAGAAGTGACCAGTATGTCAGGTAACTAAAGATGTAAAGCCATGTGGCTATACCTGGATTTTCTATCTTAAGAAACTCAATCTCACTGGATTTCCAGCTTCCTAAAAATAACATTAGACAGCTTCATCTAATATCTACTGATATTATCTATTTAAAATTTCATTTCAGCTTCAAACGTAGGTACTTTACATAGACTTAATTTATAATTATTATCCAGCTATTTCTAAGAGGATTTGAATCTGCTTCTAATATTGAAACACCCTAGGACAAGACAGCTAAAGATAATTATTTGAGAAAGAGAAATTTTAGTTATTTTGAGCACTATATTAATCTCTAAAGATCCTGATTGCTAAGGCAAAAAGGGGAATTGGGTATAGAGTTTCTGTCTGATTAAAAGGAAGTGTATTTTATCTATATAAAAGCACAGGAAACTTGACATTTACACTATGTTCTGTAATTATCAACCCTGTACACTGATAGAAGTTTAGAAGCTGAAAGAAAAGGAGTCAGGGAAGAAAAGGAAGAAAGGTTGAGTATTTTTGTCTTAGAAAATTAGGATTCAGTAGAAAGCAGTGGAAGTTAATGGAAGATGAAATAAGTTTGAGCATATAATTTTTTAAAAAAGGTAGTAAGTAGAGGAATTAAAGAGTACTATAACAGATAATGAAAGGTAAGAGTAGAGAATAGTGGTGATGCAAATACACCAATTTCTTAAAAATAGTGCTGCAAATATATTTCAAGAGAGGAAGAGTAAATAACTATCAGAACTCAATGCTAAAAGTAGTTGCCCATTTGAATTTTTCATACTGTCTTTATTATTTTGATGAGTTATTAAAACTAAAAAAAGAAAATAATGCAGTTTACAACAGTAGTTCTTGGGGTCAGTTTTTGGGTGTAGTTAACATATTCTGGCTTTTAACAGCATTTTCAAAGGGTTGCATACAGAAAAATACTAATTTAACCAGTGGTTTAGAGAGACTTTTGAGTAGTAAATTCTAGGAGTAATTACTCAATAGAAGAAGAGCAAGGTATTGCGGACATGAACTACTGGATATGAAACCACTAAAGCATACATTTTAATGTTGATTTGAACATGCTAATTACAGGTAAAGTTTTTGGCTGGTGGTTATTTAACATGCTGTACATGAAACATCAATCTTGAAGAACATTTTGAATTCAAAACTTTTCCAGTGATTTCTATAGCCCTATTGATTCTCTCCTAAATTTCCTAAATTTTTCTCAAATGTAGCTATCTTCTTTCTACTCCTCTTTCACTCTAGTGCAGATCAGCTGGATTACCACATTAGCTTTCTACTTCTCTTTCTGCCTTTACCCTGTCCCACATATAGATCTTTCACGCAGCAGTAAAGTGATCCTGTCACTGTCTTGCTTAAAATTATTATATGCCTGTTGTTGTTAGAATCAAAGTCCAACTGAACCTGCACGACTTCTACTCCCTGACAATCACTGTTCACAACTCCACGTAGCCATACTTGAATTTTTCAGTTCCTCATTATGTTATTCTCTTGTTCTTCTCCCCACCCTTGCTATTTATTTTATCTGAAACACTCCTTGCCTAGAACTCAGAACTTATTTCACTTCCTTTTGGAAGCCTTCACTGGTGTCCTAGGCTGAGTTAGGTTTTCTTTAAATGTCTTCCCATAACCTACTGTCCTGTATTGCCACTTGAAAACACACACACACACACACACACACACACACACACACTTTTGTACAGTTCATTGCATATCTTTTGCAGTAGGCTATAAATTCCTTGACAAGGGACCTTGTCTGTCTTGTTCATTATTGTATGGATAGTTCTAGAAATATACT